GGCCTGGGTGGGCACTGTCCTTCAGCTTTTTAGCTCAAGGCAAGCACTCTACCACTTGAGCCACAGCACCACTTCTGGTTTTCTGGTAGTTAATTGGAGATAAGAGTCTCATGGACTTTCCTGCCCAGGCTGGCTTTGAACAACAATCCTCAGATCTCAGCCTCCTGAGTAGCTAGGATTACAGGCGTGAGCCACCAGCACCCGGCTAAACTAGTATTTTCTAGACAGCAAGGCACTGAATGAAAAATAAATGATGACTGCGCAAGCATGTTTTTTCTGTATTCCATCTGGAGAGTAACTGTCTACTGCTGAGGCTTAAAGAGCAATCAGGAACATCTCTTTCTCCTTCAACTTCACCGTGGGCTCCTTAAATATGAAACCTGGGGGCCAGGCAAACAGCAAGTACCTGTCATCATAGGAGGAGATCCTCTTGCCATCCACAACTCGGGAGGGGGTAAGGGACAGCAGGCTGAGGGAGTACAGCTCCTGCAGGAGGTGACTCTCTAGAGAAAAAGAAAAATACAAAAGGGTTCTCCTCCAAGTGGAAATAGGGCCTATCCCACATCCAGATGACCAGACCCAACTCACCTTTGACCTTAGAATCCTTACTGAAGCGCCACTGAGGTACAAAGACCGTTATATCTCGGTGCCCACGGTCCCAGAAGTGTTGCACAGCAAGGGCGATGCCCCGACTGGAGAAATACTGCTGGCGGCCATGCCTGAAGTGGGGGTTCTGCACTCAACACCCAGAGGAGGGGTCAGACCCCTCAGCCCATGTCCCCCAAGGCAGACAAATATATATATGTACCATCCTCCCTCCCCAGGACTCTGCACCCTCTATACACCAGCTACTTACTCCATGGCCACATTGCTGCCATCGATGACAATATGGCGGAGGTCTGGGTTGCCAGGCACGTTGGCAAGGGTCAGGGTAAAAGGATCCTGTAGAGCCTCCTCAAAACGCTGTGTGCCAGTCACCAAGTTGCCCCCACGTGTGCCTCGTTTCCAAGGAGACCCTCCTCGACTTCGAGCCACAGCCTGCTGCTTGTCTCCCCTGTTTCTCCGATCTCTTCCTCGGTCTCCACTGGGCAATTGGGGTTCAGGCGCAGGTGGGGGGCTAGGCACTCTTGGAGAGGAGACTTCCCCATTATGGAGGTGATGGAGGAAAGAGGGTGGAGCTGCCCTCTGCCAGGAGCCACCCTGGACACTCATCCCTCCTCTTTCCTGAGGTGCTTTGTCCTTCCCCAGGACTTTTCCTTGCAGGAACTCAACCTCCCCTGCTCCTCCACCTGTTGACTGTGGCCTGACAGCTTCTGATTTCTCCCAGGCCTCTTCCCCAGCGACATCCTTCCATCCCGAATCCATCCCTCTAGAGCCATCCTGTTTCCCACCCTCCTTCACGGTATGACTCTTAACTCTTGCTCCCCTAGATTCTTCCTGCCCCACAGCCACTGCAGTGTCCAGAGACCTCCCACCTTCATTCTGGAGCCCTTTGACTCCTTGGTTCTGAACATCCCACAGGCCTGGGGTCCTCCCTTCCCAAGAGAGGAGTGCTTGTGGCCCCTGCCCCCTGGATGCCTCCTGCACCAGACTCAGCAGTTCCATTTGTACAGCCAGAGGCAGCCGCAGGAGAGCCTCGCTATGGATATCTTCCCGGCACCGCAGCAGAGCAGAGAAATCTCTCAACACACCCCCAGCACGGGAGGAGGCTTCCGGGTGTGGCTGTGGCTCAAAGTCCCAGCTCAGCTTCCCCACCAGGGCTTCCACCAGGCTCTGAGCCATGACAAAGGCTTCCATTAAGCCACTGATCCTCAGTGAGCCTGGTGCCCCTGGCACTAGGTGGGCTGAGGTGCGCCAAACCAAGCAGTCAAGGAAGAAGCCCTGGGCTCCCAGGAAGATACAGTGCAGTTTGGGTGGGTAGTGGATTTCACTCTGTAGTTCTGGGCTGCAAAGACCCTTCAGGTAATCCTGGAGGGAAAGATCAAAAAAGGAAAATGCTGGAAACCACCTTCTTCATGCTCTCCTAGACTCAGAGGTGCCTGGAATGTACTCATGTCTACTGCTATAACTCACACCTTGGAGATGAGGAAACAAAATTCAAATCACAAGGTTGACAAGAAGGGAAGTAATGTGGCCCAGCTCCCACCCCACCCCCCAGTAAATTCCTGGGTGGAGCCCAGTTGCTCAGCTGGATTAACTCCACTCCCTCCTAGAAGAGCAAAGATTGATTCCTCCCAGAGTCCGGGCACAGCCAGGGTGGTGACACAGAAGTGAAACCAAAACTCTACACAAAAACAGGGAAGTCTCCAAGGGCTCAGGGACAGCTTATCAGTAAAGCAACCAACCAGAGATCCTCCCGGTCCCCACCTCAGGCGCTTCCAGGAATACCAGAGAGGAGGATCACCTTGGCTCTGCTGACATTCTCCTGGGGGCCCTCAAGCTGCAGCCAGATGTGTGGGTTTTCCGGACAGTCCTTGGGGAGGATGCTCATTCTCACACTGAAAATGTGTTCCAAGTAGGCCTGCTGCTCCCGAACCTTCTCCTCTGCCTCAGCAGACACCGCAAAGCGGTCTGGAGTCAGGGAGGCAGCCCCCCAAGTAAGCATGGCTTCTTTCTGCTGTCCTAAGAAGAAAGAAGGTAGCTCTGGTTCTCACCTTTTCCACAACCCAAATCCTAGCCTCCAGGCCTACACATCTCATAAAACAGCTGCAAAACACTACGAATCTACCCCGGGGGCAGGGAGGGTGTGGTATTACAAAACACCACAGAACTACGTCCCCAAACGGCCCGGCCCACCTAATCCTAGCTACGTAGGCTGTAATCTGAGGATCACAGTAGGAAGACAGCTCACACAGGAAAGCCCAAAAAACTGTCTTCAATGAACTATTCCCAAAACCCCGGAAGTGAAGCTGTGCCTCAAATGGTAGCTAGCCCTAAGAAAAAGAGCCCAAGGATAGTGCCCTGTTAGTATTATACTCACCTTTGGTCCCCTCCTAGTCCCGGAGTTCCTGCCGAACAGCTGGCCCCTCCCTCTCCGGCCCAGACCCACCTAAACTCCCAGCTGCCTCACTTCCTACCCCTCAGACCCCCTGCTACCTGGATGGGGGCAGAGGCCATGTGCTCCCTCTTGGGGGAAATATGGCTCCTCTAATAATCCTTAAAATAATCTTTCTCCTGTGCCTGCCTGCCTCTGCATGGTCCCCTGGGATGGATGTGTGGGATCCTCTTTCATGCCCAGACCCTGAGTTCCAGCCCCAGTATTAGCGCACACGCACACACGGGAAAGAGCAAAAAGAAAACAACCAGTGGTAAAGCAAGACACTGAAGGCACTAGCTTTGAGCACAGTGTCCAGGTCCAGAGTTCAAGCGCGCGCGCACACACACACACACACACACAAAAACCACGGGCCAGTGTCCCCAGAGAGGAAGTCCAGGGTACACACGGGTAAGTGGAATGGACAACGACTTTAGGACAATGGAGACCACAGCCCTGAGCAGAGAAGGGATGGGGCTCCAGCCTTTGGAGAGTAAACGGAGTGGACGGAACGACACTGGGCCGAGTCCTCAATTCCAAGGTCGTCAAAGAGAGATCCTGGCCAGGCGCGGGAGCTGGGCAGTCCTCAGGCCCCCAATCTTTTTCCCGCCTCTAGCCACTCCCACCTTCCCCCTCCTCCGTCCCCCCACCCCCTCACCCCCTTCCTCTTCCCCTCCCCCAGCGGCCAGCCACCGAGCCGCGAGATCCGGCCCCGCGCTCCACCCCGGCCCGCCCACCTCCCCTGCAGGGCCCCCGCTGCCCACCGCGGCCCGAGCCCCGCCTACCCTACGGGGCCGCCAGCTCCGGCCTCCGTCCAGACGGCGCCTCTGGGTACCCTCGGGCCCCCCACTTCACCCGCACCCCTGGCCCAGGGGACAAGGGCAGGGGGCCCGAATCGGGGCGGGCCTTGCCGGGTTCTTCACCCCACCAGGACTGCTCCACTCAACTGGGTCGGTGTTTTCAGTCACTTCCTGGCCTGGGGCGGAGTCAGCCCTGCTCCGCCCCAGGCCGGGGTGGCCCCATGGCCCCGCCTCGCCGCCCACCGCGCGCTCCCTCCCCTGCAGTCGCCCCAGCAACCCGAGCCCCAGACACGGCCCCCGGCCCCCCGGCCTCCCCGCCAGCTCCTCCGCGCCACTCCGCGTGTGTCCCGGCACGCTTTTGCAGGTGTTTCCCGGGGGTGAGGGGGAGGAACCACTTGTCCAAGTTCCAAAGAGATAAGGCGACAGCTCAGAGGTCACAAGACAGGCCCCAGCACTTGCCACCAAAACAACCGTGAGGGTGACAGGGACGTCCCCCCAACAAGTGGAAAGGCTTTTCCAGAAGGGCAGTTTGGTTTTTGAGGGATTTTGTGTTTAAACCTCTGAAATTCGTTAAAATTGATCAAGATGGGTTGTACTCACAAACTGACCTTTTAAATGAAACTCCTCACACAACGATTTCAGGATAACAAGATAATCAAATTAAATAGATCCAAAGAATGAATATCGGAGTTAGAAACTTTCTCCTTTCCTCCTCTTCCTACCTCTTTTCCCCCTTCCCCTTCTTCCTCCTCCTCTTTTCCTTCATCTGTGTGTGTGAGAGACACACACACACACACACACACACACACACACGAGTTCCCCATCACCCTAAGTTGAGCCTCCCCTGCTCTCCCATCCAGGGGGCAGCCCCAGAGCCCTGGTAGTCACCCTCCAGACCTATCTTCATCTCTCCCTCCCAGAGCTCAAAGGCTTGCTGTCACTTCATGCCCTGCCAAGGAGGGGGGAGCTACAGTGACAGCAGGAGTAAACCCAGTGAGGCAGTGCGGAGCTGTGGGACAGAGTATGGAGAGGGAGGTGCTGAGGCCAGGTGACAGTGAGAACCAGAGAGAGAATAGAGGCGCAAGCCTGAGACAGAGGACTAAAATTTAAAGGCAGCAGACAGGGCCAGAAGACAGGGACACTTGAGCGTGGCAGAGGCACTGGCCATGTTGGGAGAAAAGCACTCATGGCTATCAACCCCCCTACACCGCCTAGGGCTGCCCTTGGCCCTGGTGCTTGTGGCCCTGGGGACCGGATGGGCCCAAGAGGGATCAGAACCCGTCCTGCTGGAGGGTGAGTGCCTGGTGGTCTGTGAACCAGGCCGAGCTGCTGCAGGGGGACCCGGGGGAGCAGCCCTGGGAGAGGCACCCCCAGGTCGGGTTGCTTTTGCTGCAGTCCGAAGCCACCATCATGAGCCAGCAGGGGAGACCAGCAACAATGGCACCACTGGAGCCATCTACTTCGATCAGGTAATTCCCCAGCCCTGTCTAGGGGACCTGCAATGACTTACAATCAATGTCTAAGCCCACCTGCCATCCTGAGACTAAGAGAACATCTTCCCTTCCCACCCTCCTTACCTTTCTCCATTTCTTTTGAATCAGGATGTTCCTGTTGACTCCTACTCACACCCCTTCCTTCCTTCCTTCTCACTCCAGCCCCACAATATCAGGGACACAGGCGTCCCTGAGCCCCACTCAGTGGGCTCTGCTTCCCCCTAGGTGCTGGTGAATGAGGGAGGAGGCTTTGATCGGACCTCCGGCTCCTTCGTGGCACCTGTTCGAGGAGTCTATAGTTTCCGGTTCCATGTGGTGAAGGTGTACAACCGCCAAACAGTTCAGGTAATCTGAGCCCTGGGCCCTATCCCTAGCTCAGGAGGAAGGGAAGGAGACCTTGGATGCCACCAGCAAGGGAGAAAAGGTGCTGTGTACCAAAGAGTGGAAGATTGTACAGTTCATTGCTGGTCATCCTGCAGCCCCTGCCAGGAGAGTCCACCAAGTCCCAGATCCCCAAGAGAACACCCTTGGGCAAGTGAGGGTCCTGAGCTGGGAGAGGTCATAGATACTAACTAGGCTTCCCTCTCCAGGTGAGCCTGATGTTGAACACATGGCCTGTCATCTCTGCTTTTGCCAATGACCCTGATGTGACCCGAGAGGCAGCTACAAGCTCTGTGCTGCTTCCCCTGGACCCTGGGGACCGGGTGTCCCTGCGCCTTCGTCGGGGAAATCTGCTGGGTGGCTGGAAGTATTCAAGTTTCTCTGGCTTCCTCATCTTCCCACTCTGAGGGTCCCATCCTCGGAAAGACAGAAATCCAGCTCCTCATTATTGCTCTCTGCCATCCTCTACCCCAGAAACAGCATCTTTGGAACAAGAGAGACTCTCTCAAGCTGTCTATACCCTCCTCCTCGCATGAGATTCTGTGCCAAACACCCAAGGTTAAGAATAGAGCAGGACTGTGGCATCTGCAGCCCTGGACCCCCTTCTCAGCATCCCCCCCCCCCCCCCCCCCACAGCTGCCCTCCCAGCCTCATGCCACACCTCTTCCTGCCTGCCACCCAAGGCTCAGGGAAGGATTTGGTAGGAAGGAGACCTACACTACTGCTCAGTCTCTGTTCCCACTGTTTCTCCATCCCAGCCTCCCTCCTGCTCAGTGCTATTAGGGGACAGTTGGCCCAGGTAAGCTTAATAGTCTCCCACTGGTGCCCAGATGGACTGGCCTGAGTGCCTGAGTGTACCCTGCAGGTTCCTTCCTGTGAGGAATATCTGCATCGGTATCTTAGCCAAGCACCATACAGACTAGAAGGAGGCTATGATACAAGCAGGAGTGTGGGCAGGACCACAAAACAGGCTGTTAGGACAGAAAGAGGGCACAGCTTAAACAGGATCCGCATTGTGTAGCTAGACTGGGATAGCCAGCAGTCAGGGATCCCTGTGCGCCAGGTCCCAAGTGGACTCTGTCCCTTGCCTCATCCCACCCCCACTCCCACCCCCCAGACTTGGGTGTCTTATGTTTGCTCTGGCCAACAAGATGGTTAAGCAGAGATACTCGATACAGCTAGAGATAGAGGTAGAAGGTGTATGTGGATCATCCTCTTGTTTGGCTACCTCCTAGTGACCCCCACTTTTGAAGTCCAAGCTTCAGTCTCTCTATTGTGACTATCACCTTCTTCCTCCACCTCTCACTGTTACCTCTACTGTATTTTCTGCAGCCCTACTGCTTCTTTTTCTTCCTGAGTTGTGCTTATTCTTCATCCTAAATTGCCTATTTGCTGCAATTCTGTGATTTGTCCTTCCAACCACTTTGCTGCCTGTATCATAAACTGTCTTTTATCCTACAGTCCTAATGGTCCAGAATGGGTGAACCTATCACTGTAGCAACTAGAGAAGGGTGATAGATGAGACACCACTATAGCTTCAGTAGAACAGAGATGTAGCATGTACAGAATACAAACAAGTATTTTGTGAAGGGAATAAATGTAACAAGTATAAAGGATTTAGTAATGCTTAAGTTAAAATGAAATGCAAATGTCAATTTGTGATTGAAAATAATAGAGTGGAAGTATGACAGTATAAATATGGTGATTTTCATGAGGCTCTGGATTTGATCCCTGGAACTGTGAAAAGGATTTTTTTTTCACTATTTGACAATACTTTGTGACCAAGAAGACTTAAACAAGGTAAGAGATTATTCTGCAAATAAAGAGTTCTGGGATGGATTTTCATTTTATGATAATCAAAATGCAATATCTAACATCTTTAGCATACCATCTTTTGACCCAAGATGGCTCCTTGGGCTCCAGCCATTGTATCAGCCTAGGAAGAAGGAAATGCACACTCTTTT